TCCTCTTCCTTCTGTGCACACTCTCCCTTCATCCCAGTACCCAGAATCTACATACTTTTGCCTCATCTCCCCCACAGTTGTAGAGTGCCCTTTGTCCATAATGGGTAGCCAAAAGAAATTAAGAAATCTTACCTCTGCAATAACGAAAAATCTGTTTTAAAAGAATTGGGAGAAGGGATCCTTCAAACGTACATAAAATGAATCTGTGATTCTGCAGCATGGTTTTCAATGATTCATACTATGAACAAACCATATCGCAAAATTTTCAGGCACTTATTAAGATAGAAGTATCAAAATGACAACTATTCATAACAAATGGCCAATCTCCACTTCCTACTGTGCATTCAAACACTATTTCCAATTTAACAGAGCTTTTCCAATTATATTTAACTCTGAAAGTCTAAACTGGGTGGAGGAGGGCAGATACCAAGTCAAGAAATTTTACACATCCTATTATATTTGCTCTTAAAGGTGTCCCATCTGAACCATCTTCTTCACCATTTCACTGCAGGTAACTTAGTGAGGCCTAATTAAGTTTGTGGGGTTGAAAAGGAGGGAAAATGTTGTTGTAGCTATAAAGAAGTTTTCACGAGGAATAAGAAGGCATATTTACTTTGAACGGCATCTACCTTTACATGCCAAGAAGAGAAATTAAAGCGGAGATGGTTATTCGCAGCAGCAGTGGTAAGCATAACTGGTATATTGTCAAAATGCACCTTCAATATTGCTCCATGAAATAGGTAAACCTTCCATTGCCACAAGTTAAAAATTCAAGGACAGGAAAGACTAAGAATTCACATCTAAGGAAATATTTGGGACTGGACATCCAAATTCTACCACTATACTTGTTGGTAGGCAAAACAGAAAAATACAGATTATATAAATGGATATATTATGGTAACTGGCTGAAAGATCATGCAGTAGATATCCATCCTCTAACCAAATGACACAAAACGAATAAACATTAATTTTGATGGCAACTGACCACTACTCTGGGGCTTCATAGTCCACGAATTTCCCCAAAAGCACAGCTTTTTATAAGCAGGGAAAAAGCTGGAAATCTACTGCAAGGATAGAGTACAAATGTATAAACAGAGAGTAGGAATGTTTTGGCTATTTAGTTTTTGCTTCAAATTCCTTTTAGCTATCGAATAGTATCATTTGATGCAAAACCATATTAAGTGCAGATACTAATAACTGGGTTAGAGGAAGCATTATGGCCAGCTATAGTCAGTTGCTAATTTCTCCAGGTTGCTGACTGATGCTGAGACTCTTGTGCCGATTGAGAAGGAATGCCTCATGACAGTCTGGGCATGCAAAAAATGTCCAAATTTCTTGTTCAGATTAGATTCCTAACCTCACTTCTGACTGACTACAAACCTCTCATACCCCCTCATAAACAGCAAGTGCTTGCACTGCGAGCCAGTGAGATGTCAAAGACTCATTCTATCCTCGTTGAGGTACAATCTGCAGTGAGAACACATGCTTGCCAAGATTCTGTTGCCGATATTTTGTCTAGACATTTTCTGAATGTGACTGATGTGGGGACGTTGCAAATAGTTGAGGAAATTGAAACTTACAAAAGAGCTCTGCAAGCCTTAAAGCCATCATACAATATAGTGCAAGCGTGCCTGAAAACATCCAAACTTTCCTCCTGGAGAAGAGTAGCCCCACTGGCTCTGATGGCACCTTATTTCCTGAAGTCAGGGCAGTTAACCCAGCAGAAATGAAGAAATGTATCCTTATACGAGACACCATTAGGCCCCTTGGACATTACTAAACGTCATCAACAAGTAAAGATCTGTCTGGTGGCTAGGAATTGGGAGACAAATCCAAGAGATTCAATTTCTTGACCAAACCAACAGCAGGGACACATACCCTATTTAAGAAACCATTAATATTTCTCTGCTGTCAGACTTGGAAAGTGGGCCTTAGAGGGTGATCCTTATGAGCTAAGGCACAGAAGTACATGGCGGCAGTTGACTACTTTACTAGATATTTAAAAACCACACATTTACTTGATGCTCTTTGATCATGTCATGTATAGATGAAAGAATGTGTCTGCATGGTGGGAAAGTCCACTTGTTACAGTGGGCCATAATTTGTTGGGGAATAATTGTTATTTACTGACAAGTAATACTTTTGCTACATAAAAATAGCCTTCACCCACCTAAGGATGGTGCTGTGGTTAGGGCACTAGCTTAAGACTTGGAAGACGTGGGTTTAATTCCTTATTCTGCCATAGATTTCCTGTGTGACCTTAGGTAAGGCACTTAGCCTCTCTATGCCTCTATTTCCCATCTGTAAAATGGGGATAATAATACTCTACCTCTCAGAGGTGTTGTGAGGATGAATACATTAAATACTATGAAGTGCTTTGATATTCGCTGATGAAAAGCTGTAAGAGGTAGGTATTTGTTGTTGTTGTTTTTATTAGGCCAAGGATTAGATAATAATGGTAAGGCCAAGAGAGCCAGGAAAAGGGTGAAGCAAACCCAAAAACAAGACTGTCAGTTTTTAGCTTTAGTCAGCTACGGTCTGATCCAACTGCTATTAATGTAAATGGGAAAGACTCCTGTTTGACTTCAGTGGGCGTTGGATTAGGCCCTTATTAATCCATGTCACTGAGTGTAGCCCAGCATCCCAAAGGGAAAAATCTAAAACAAGTCAAATAGGATAACAGAAGAGCAAAATATGCATATAAATTGCATTTTGACAAAAGGAATGTCGTTAAGACATTTCCTGACTTATATCCTGGTGTCTTGAGAGCAAACTCGGATAGTGATATAGGTTAGATAATATACATGCCAAACTTCTAGGCTTTACACAGCTACGACCAAGGTAAGTAAATTCTGGAAGAACAGAACATGTTTGCAGCTCATCCTAGATCCAAGAAATGGCTTTTTACAACTTATCACTCTAGAATCAGTGTTACCCAGAGACTTAGATCGTAAGCTCTTTAGAGAGGATCCTTCTTGTTTGTACTCACCCTAGCACAATAGGGTCCGGTCCATGATTAGACCTTCTAGACACTACAGTAATACAACTAAATAATAATAAATAAAGACAATTCTGCTTCTGCTCTAGAAGAATTATAGACAGAACCAGCAATGCAGCCAGACTTGCCACATTGAGATCATTAGATAGCATCATCAATAACTGATTCCTTTTTAAACACTGTGATCAAAACTTACAGAGAATACCTGAATATTGGAGAAACTTTTATATCAATGCCAGATGGGGCAAAATAATATCCACCGTACTTCTCACTTTGTTTAATACTGTATGAAGTTAATTGCAAATGATTTAAGAAATAGCATTGCCAACATCTCAAAGTTTAAAAGAAGTGTGTGTGGGAGACATATAATTCAAATATCCTGGTTTAAATTCTATTGAGAATTCCTGATCTTATAAGTGTAAACTATTATTTCAACAATACCATACAACAACAGCTTGAAAGTTCAGAGAGTGGGAAAGAATAAAATTTAAAATTAAAATTTTAAACAATAGAAGCTTGCTAACTCTTCAATAGGAAAAGCCCAAAACAAAAACAGGTCTGCATTTGTAAAGTACAATGAAAAATTAACATATGTAAAAATAGATCTTATTAGATATAGACAATTGTTTGGGCCGAGCCCACACCTGCCTAATGTCAAAACTAAGAATAAGTTTAGCCACTTCATGCACTGCAAACACCTGTAACTAGCACTTGGCCTTAAACACAAAAAATCTCTTCTTTAAATAGAAAAATGGAATAATTGCTCCTACTCGACCAGAAAAATCTAGTTTAATTCAGATTAATCTTAGTGTAACAGTGTCACAAAATCTTGCATCTGGCACCTGGACCCCAGCAAATCACATAGGTGTTAGGGTCTAAACCAAAAAATTCTACCCTCTAAAAGACAGCACGCGTTATCAGCAGCTAGTGCAGTAGAAGTAGTTACGCTTGTGCTCTATTTAGCTGGGAGAATTTGAGTTTGAGCCCAAAAATTAATGGCATTGTGCTGGTACAGGTTTCTGCTGTGCTCTTGCATCAGGGTCTAGACTTTTATGGTAGCCTGGTAATGGTATAGTGTCTTGTCTAATTCTATCATCTAATGTGTGGATTCAGCAGGGTAATTACGGGTCCAGGTGCTGCATATGAGGTTTGCCATTGTATTGCACCTGGCTACATCAGGATCTGTTTTTTCTTCCTGCTGGACTAGGTGCATCAACATCTGTCTGTTTAGATAATATGATTATGGAGTTCAGGGATACAATTTTTGGAGTCAACATGGTTGAAGTGCTGGATATGGGTTTTCCCAGTGGTCTTATGGCATGATAGTAAGATCTGGATCTTTGCGCTGAACTGCAAGGAGAAACAGTTCTTGTCTAATCCGACAGGTGCACTGGTGGGTTTGGAGGCAAAAACTAGCTGAATCTGGTTGCCAAATGTGTGATTTGTGGCACTTTTACCTCACCTGTGTTAGGCTCAAGATTATTCTGGTAGGCCAGGCGTGGCAAGCCATGTTCCTATTTTGATAGTATGTTTTGTGGTTTTGGGGCCAGCATTATATTCTCCTCTATTTTGCTTTAGGAAAAGTATGTTTAACATTTCTGTTGACACAAACATGGCTGCTGTGGCCCGTTTCAATAAAAACAATAAACAGGCCACAGGAGTTTGTTTGTTTTTTAAAAATCCATCCAGTATTGCTGCTGCTTTATTGCTTGACTAGCTCTTTTCAGTGTTACCCATTTAATGAGTCACAAAAGGACAAGTTCTTTTTTTCCCACCCACAAGGTCGCCTAATTATGATGCTCTCATGGGGAAGTGGGATTAGGGAGACCCATACACAAGGGCGCTGAAACGCCTGTGCTAGAACATCACAGCCTGGCCAGTGACTCTCCTGCCAGAGCTCCCGGAGGCACATTCACGCCACTTACCAAGTGCACACACAGGAGGGAGCAGCTTAGCCTGGGACGCACCCGCAGGCTGGGGGGCGAAGGTGAGGGCAACTTACCAGGTCTATGAATGTCAGAAATTTCCAGCTCCCTCCATAGGTCTGATGCGCTGGCATGTCAATGGCGTTGTAAGCGCACAGGATGGAGAAGTAGGAGAGGAGGATGGCGACTCTCAGCACCTGGCAGGGCACGAGCGCCATGTCGCCACTTTGCAAGCGGGGCCTGCAAACTGCAAGACAGCGGGGGCGCGCTTCCCGCGCGGGGCTGGCGCGGTAGCGCGCGGCGTTCTACCCGGGGAGGAAGCGCGAGCGCGAGCGCGCGCGCGCGGGTGTCCCCTTGTTCTGTACGCGGGGGACGCGCCCGGCCCCGGGGAGAGCGGGCTCAGCCGGAGCTCGTCAGGCAACAGGGTGCTTCCTGGAGCAAAGGTGGGCGGGGAGAGGAGGAGATGTTGGAGGAAGGGTTACCATGGCAATCTACTAAACCTGCCCTGAGCTGCTGCTGCTGCTTCAGCGGAGAGACCCCTGGAGCAGGTGACCCCTTCGCCTCTGGGGCTGTGTGAGTGTGGCTTGTTGTATGTTCTTCTTGCCAGCGCTGCAAAAAGCGACCTGAAGAAATAAACATGGGCAGGGTCGTTGTCCTCTAAAGCCTTGCATTTCTACCCACGCTGCCACTGCACTTACGTGACCCCGACTGACTACAGAGTCTGAGCGCCTGTTCACAAACGCTGGCGTACACCCATGCATACACCTGAGTACAGGCTTACATGAAATAGAGAAACTATGCTAGCATGTATGCACATATCTTCACACTCGTGCATGCACAAGCTTGTGTGTACATATACACACACACACACGTGCACACATGCTCAAAGATACACAAGTGAACAAATGAATACACATTTTGATATGACAAGTATGCTCACACACAGCTTGCTCTCACATCCACACATAAAGAAGAGTGGATGAGTGTTTGTGAATATGAGATGATGTACCCCTGTGTCCACGTAAAATAAATAATCATATTTTTAAATGCATGGTTGCATGCACTGCTTTTGGTTTTACGGAATGGTGATTATGAACCTCTTAGAAACGTAGATTTATTTTTCTTGTCTACAGATAAAATTTTAAAATATTAACTCATAATAAAATGGTGTTTTGCATATCTGCTTTTAGGACAACTGTAGTTCCATGCAGGCAATATTGCCTGAATGTTTTAAAGATTGCTTAGTTTGTTTTAGTCTAGGAGATTAGAGCACAATAGATGTATATATGTGATTCAATGGTGTAAAGAACCAATTACACCAGTTTTGTTTTTAAACTTAAGTCATTGTTTTATTAAATATTTGGATCTCCTTCAGCGAGAAGAATATAAATTGCATACATTCCCAGTTTGCCTTCCAGTAAGTGCTGTGGGATATCAGTTGCATCAGACTGTGGGCAGCAGATATTTTTTTAAGAGGTCAGATGACTAAGTTTTAGCCAACCAAATATGGGGTCAATTTATGAAAAGACAACATAGGCATTTCCTGTGGTCCATTTAAAACAGGTGTCCACTCCAAATAGTCTGTGAGTCACAGGGTACTTCTGTAGTGGGGGGCTTGAGGGAAAGGAGTGGGTAAATAATATTTTGTTCATAGTCCTGTTGCAGAGAATTGGAGTTGAACAGATGGACAAAAGATTAAACCTGCTAAAAATATAAGTGTGCTCTAAGTGCCTGATTGTGCCACTGAAGTCAATACTCTTCAGCTATCCTTCGATGCAAGGATGATGTCTGCCAAGGGGGTTCATTGGTGGGTTTTTAAGTGGCAGAGGAGCCCAATTCGTGCTCTGCAGATTATCCCACAGAAGTGAGAGGTGTAATCTTGGAGGAGACATAGTTGTTGGCTGGACTGTTGTGCCCTTTCTCTCCTCCTTTGTTGTTTCTCTGTCTCATGAGCACGTCTGTTCTCCTCAAAGTGAGCTGTGGCTTGGTGTATGGTGTGGCGCCACTGTGTTCTGTTCCACGCCGAGTCCTCCCAGTTTGTTGGGTTGATGCCTCCCTTTTTAAGGTGTACTTTCCGTATGTCTTTGAAGCACTTAATACTAGCTTTACCATTGACTTCAATGATTGCAGGATCAAGCCCTAAATATCCCTTATGTAAACGTAATGCAGCATTGTATAACAGTCCCACACTTGTACTATGTAGTAAGTAAGCTGTAGCTTTTAGGACCATTGCTGTATAGCAAGTAATCCTTCTTTTTAAAAGAGACCTCCAGATCCTAAATGTTTACTACCAGTAAGTAGACTTTTCACCTACGCTTCTATAAACCAAATTCTTGAAGGAAAGAAGTGCTAAAAGCGTGCTCGCTATAAGCTCCTCAGAGCAGGGGTTCTGTCTCCATCTGTGTATTTTATTGCACCAAGCATTGTATCTGTACTTTAAAAAAATAATTAATAGTATTTTTATTATATATGATAATAATGAGATCTAAACAAAATGGCCTTATATGGATTGATTTATTTTAACACTGTCACAGGGTAAGCTAGACTTTTAAGGGGTTTGAGACCCAGCTCTGACCTGTGCCTTGGTTTCCCCTTCCCCACTCACATGCTTTGAGAAGGGTCAGGTTACTGCAGGCTAACAAGGAGGCTGCTATAAAAGAGACATCTTTCCCTCTCTACAGGAAAGACTAGGGTTGAGACAATATCTGGGCCATGCTGGTCCAGAGAGGAGGTCTGGAATGACCTGGGAAAGAGATGGATGTTCAGGAGGAAAAGGCCTGTCAAGAGGCAGGACATAAAAAGACCCTGGGATAGGAGAATTAAGAGAATGACAATGCCTGCGGTAATAATGTGAGTTGAAGGTCTAGTATTGGTAACAGTCTTTGCTTAGGGACCACAGGAATTTCTGGAGAGGGTAGGAGAAAACCCCTTTCAACTCTTGTGTCAGCAATGGGGAGTCCAGTCCAGGGCAGACCCTAACTAAGAAAGGACTAGAGGCTGAGCTGAAGGTGGGCAGGCAGGGGTGGACAAAAAAGAGACTACTGAGGCTGGGGGATGGCTGAAGAGGTTTTAGTATTTGGACTTCTCCCTCACCCTGAATGGGCAGGCCTCTAAATGAGTTTGAGTGAAAGAGTAAATATCAAATGAGTCTGCCAGCCCAGGAGGACTATTATTGAGGGAGGAAAACAGGCAGCAGCTGTGTCTGGGCAGGGTGAGATAAACTACTACTACTACAGACACCACATGTACAGACCTCCCTTTACAATCAATACTTGAACAAACAATAAGGACTTAGTGCTCTTTCCAGTTATACTAGTGGAAGGAAGCAGAGAATTGGTGTAGGGTTGGACATGGGTGGCCAACCTGAGTCTGAGAAGGAGCCAGAATTTACCAATGTACATTGCCAAAGAGCCACAGTAATACGTCAGCAGCCCCACATCAGCTCTGCCCCCGCCCACACTCTCAGCACCTCCTGCTAACCAGCAGCCCCTCCCCCTCCCTTCACCTCCAGATCAGCTGTTTCATGGTGTGGAGAGGGAGGAGCGAGGGCATAACAGGCTCAAGGGAGGGAGCGGGAAGGGCCTGTGGCAGAGCCAGGGGTTAAGCAGTGAGCACCCCCCGGCACATTGGAAAGTTGGTGCCTGTAGCTCCAGCCCCAGAGTCGGTGCCTATACAATGAGCCGCATATTAACTTCTGAAGAGCGGCATGTGGGTCTGGAGCCACAGGTTGGCCACCCCTGGGTTAGGAGAAGCAATAGCTCTGTGACATGCTCCCTGCCCTTACAACAATCAGCGGAGGCTTCTTCATCATGCATCCTTGGTATTTGAGCTTTGCAGTGTGGGAA